AACGTACTGTTGCGATTGAATAGGTTAAAATTTCCAGTCAGGTTTGCTTCAAATGATGGCTGAAATTGTCGGTGCCAAAAGAATTTTAGTCTTTAATTTGCGGAAAACACGTAACCAAAATTTCTTTAGTTTAGGCGAACTGAAGACTCCACCCGACTCCTTTTTATTGCACAAACTTTGAGCGGAGGCTCGGCACAATGCCCGAGAAGCCAATGCATCAGCCGCGTACGTTACGTTCTTATCTTTATCTTCCGCACTATTTGCTCTGCGTCCGTGAAAAAAGGAGGCTGATCGAGGACTTTATCAAGTATAGCCGCACTTCATAGTCAACATCGGTACAATTCGGACCATTGTTTACGAGGATACAGCGTGGCCGTAGTTAGAGCGCTGAACTTGCCATTTGGAGGCCCCGAGTTCAAGTCCTGCCCTGACCGCTAGCTGGATTTGTTCACGGTAGTCCTGAGTTCTAATCCTTGGCCACCCTTGTAAATAGCCAGCTGGGTTTCCTCCGGCCAGTTGGGATTCTTAACCCTGATAAGTTTGATTTGACTTATTTCTTTCAGGCATTTGCTCGGCCCCACTAGGATTAGTGCTATAAATACCGCCGAGGGTAAATAACGGAATTATTATTATTATTATTATTATTATTATTATTATTATAATAAATGAAAGTGACGTTAATTTAATACACAAGTTACACTGCAGTGACTGCCATACGAAAAAGAAGCCTTTACTATGGAGAAATAAGTCTCAGGCTGATTTACAATGCATTTTAGGGATTGTTTGTTTGCAAATTTTCATGCAGATTATTTTTTCTGAGCGATTTAAGTGTCGTGGAGACGTTTTTTGTTTAACTAGTTCATTTATTTCTTGTATCCTACCTACTTTTATTATTCACTTATTAATAACAACCCTTGGTTTTTTTTTTATACCTGCAGATATCATTAACCCAAAGAGATAAACGCTGAAAAACAAGAAAACAACGCTCTTAAACAACATTACTATAGCCTTTCTTAAAACATGACTAGCAAGATGTATATTTATGGTTTTTTAACCGCTGCAAGTATCGTTCTTTTTTTAACAAGTAAGTAAATGTAGTTTTCTTGTACACTATAGGTCTATTACTTCTTAGAAGATATACCCCAAAACAAGCACATACTTTCTGAAGGCTTGATGGATAAAAAAGTAATCGATAATAGATTCTGGATTTTGAGACGCTTAAGGTAATCAAAACAGCTTATCAAGCAAAGCTCAAGGGTTGATAGCTTACCCCGTTTTGTCCACAGATAGTCCAGACACGTCTTTAACCCTGGAACATCTGGTGTGGTCACCTCAGGCATCATCCCCATGAAAAAAATTAAACGTGTCTAAAAAATAGAAGGCAACCAAAAGATGAGTCCGATGTCCTAATGGCACCAATTTTTATAAACCTCTCATTGTTAAGGCATTACAAGACCTGATTTATAGTAATAAAAACATGCCTCTAGTTATAAGCGGGACAACCAGAGCAGTGATTGAGTGACAACAACGCATTCACGTTTATTCCAAAAAGGCGCAGGAAGGCTACTCGCGTAGCTTTACGTTAGATATTCCCGTATCTGGAAGACACTGTCACAGAACTTTCGTCATAAAAACTTTGCTTGAGTACCTATAAAAATAATTTACTGTTAATTCTTAAAAAATATAGACGTTAGATAGAGTAACATGCCCTTGGCACTTACCTTTTGTTCAACAGTGCCCTCAAGATAGTACATTATCCAATTCGCTCCTTCCTAATTTCCTATTTATGAAAAGTTTAACCTGATTTTTATGGCTGGGAGGACTACGGTAAGAGGCCAGGTGCTGTATTGACTTCCACCAATTTTGCTCTACTGTATTCCAACTTAACAGTATTTAAAACAAGACACACAAAAAACAACAATGCGTTGAACTTGGATATTTGCATGAAATGCACTCTGCATGTTTAAATTAAGGTTATTAAAACAGTTTGGCTTGAGAAAAAAAACAATGACCATACCACTCAAAAAAAAAAAACCTCAACAAAAAATAACAACTAGTTTCAAAATTGACGAACAATGAATCCTAAATAAAAAGATTCTTAGAATTATCAACACTAAAATAAAACATTCTATTCGCTTTAAAGTTCAATTTCATAATTTCAATTAAAGGTTCCTCAACATCGCAAAGTATTTCGCCCATTGTGTCGCCAAGTGTCTCGGCCACCACCTCTGACAGCGTGTCAGCCAGTGTGTCCACCAGTGCCTCAGCGCCCACATCGCCCAGTGTGTCGCCAAGTGTCTCGGCCTTTACCTCAACTAGCGAGTCAGCCAGCGTATCGACCAGTGCCTCCGCCTCAACTTCAACTAGCGAGTCAGCCAGCGTGCCGACCAGTGCCTCGACCTCCACTTCGCCTAGTGTGTCGCCAAGTGTCTCGGCCTCCACCTCAACTACCGACTCAGACAGCGTCTCGACCAGTGCCTCAGCGTCCACATCGCCTAGTGTGTCGCCAAGTGTCTCGGCCTCCACCTCAACTAGCGAGTCAGCCAGCGTGTGGACCAGTGCCTCTGCGTCCACATCGCCTAGTGTATCGGAAAGTGTCTCGGCCTCAACCTCAACTAGCGAGTCAGCCAGCGTGTCGACCAGTGCGTCGGCTTCCACATCCGCCAGTTTGTTGTCAAGTAGTTCGGCCTCTATCTCTGCTACTGTCTCAGCCAGCGTGTCGACCAGTGTCTCGGCCTCCACATCGCCTAGTGTGTCGCGAAGTGTCTCGGCCTCCACCTCAACTAGCGAGTCAGCCAGCATGTCGACCAGTGCCTTGGCCTCCACATCGCCCAGTTTGTCGCCAAGTAACTCGGCCTCTATCTCTGATACTGTCTCAGCCAGCGTGTCGACCAGTGTCTCAGCGTCCACATCGCCTAGTGTGTCGCGAAGTGTCTCGGCCTCCACCTCAACTAGCGAGTCAGCCAGCGTGTCGACTAGTGCCTCAGCGTCCACATCGCCCACTGTGTTGCCTAGTGTCTCGGCCTCCTCCTCAACTAGCGAGTCAGCCAGCGTGTCGACCAGTCTCTCGGCCTCTACATCGCCTAGTGTGTTGCGAAGTGTCTCGGCCTCAACCTCAACTAGCGAGTCAGCCAGCGTGTCGACCAGTGATTCGGCGTCCACATCACCCAGTGTGTCGCCTAGTGTCTCGACCACCACCTCAACTAGCGAGTCATCCAGTGTGTCGACCAGTGCCTCGGCGTCCACATCGCCCAGTGTGTCA